GCGCCTGCAGCCCGGGCCCGGCGACATGAGCGCCCGGCGGCCCGACGCACCCAAGGCGCAGCGGCCGGATCCCGCGGCCCCGTAATGGGCTCCTGCGTGTCGCGAGGTGAGGAAACCGTGTCCGGGTGGGTGTTGGGCCAGGGTCTCTGCGCAGAGGACGCGTGCCTGCTCCCCTCGACCGCTCCGAGGGAGCTGGGGGGGGGGGTGGCCCCGCCCCTCCCAGGCGCGCCGCACCCGCACCCGAGCTGGGCAGCGGGGACACACCGCTCGGAGGGCTGGCGACAGGGTGCGGGAGGGAATGGCCAGGATCCCAGCGCACCGGCCACATCCTCAAGAGGGAGCGCGGAGGTCACCGCACCGCAGGGGGCCCCCTTCGCCCCTGTGCGGTCCTTCACGTTCTCACGCCCCTTGCGGGGAGGGTGCTCATGTGGCTCCCCGCGTCTCCGGAGGGTCGGATGAGGGGCATCCGGAGGACAAGCAAGCGCCCCAAAATCTACCTCCCCAAATCCTACAGCCCTGCTCACCTTCCCTATCCTTTCCTCCCCTCAACCCTCACCCCACACCCACATCCTCAGCTCTTTAGCAGGAGAGGGTTAACACGGGTGAACAGGTTATAAAGAAGGCTTCCCTTCCCCCACCCTTGTCCTCAATCCTTCATCCCTACCCCCACCCTTGGTCAGAGGACAGCTGATGTCCCCAGTAACCCCTGGACCTTTCTCGCATTCTCTGAGTTTTGAAAGCTGCCCACCCCTGCCCACCCCCTCCCATCAGACCTGCCAGGGTTGCCCTAGCTGCTCTCCCCAAGTGGTACTTGGGGAGCCTGAGGGAGCTGCTTTCATTGGCCAGATGCCCGACTGCTTCTGGCTGGGGTGAGGGCACCGAACTTGGACCGTGGGAGGCTGGCCTTTAGAACCCTTCCCACTTGCACAGGGCAATCTCAGGCAGCATTTAGGAATTAGGTGGGACCGGGGCTTTTTGCCCCACAGTGGGTGGGACCAGAGGGCCAGGATGACTGGAGGAGTTGACCTTGTAGTTTCGGGGGAACCAAATTTACTGACCCCAGCCACTTGGCTTGGTGGGGGTGGGGCTTGGGGGCAATCTTTTCACCTTTCCTCAACCAATGGCTTCCCTAGGTGTAGAGGGATGAACAGGTCTTAAGGGAGGGGCTGGGCTGGCTCTATGGGAGACCACATGGTGCTTCATGGTGTTGAGAAAGGAGTACAGCCCACTCCCCTGGGCTCTAAAGCCTGCTCAGTAGTGAAGTGTCACAGGGCTATTCAGGTGAGTGGTTCCAGTGTCTCTGAAAGGTGCCAGGGATGGGATGGTGGGTGGGGCATGAGAAGGAGCAGGCAAGCTGTCAGAGACTTGTTCTTAGAGTCGCTCACTAAGTCAATATATCACTGGGCTTCCTCCAGCGTTCCCAGCCTCATGAGCAGTGTAGTGGAGGGAGGGAGGGAGATGTGAGCAAAAGAGTATGAAGAACTGGCTGTCCCAGGGAGTTCTGGGGGCCTTGTGGTCAGGAGTTGCACTGCTAACACAAAGGCATGTGGTTTGAATCCACCAGCTACTCCCAGGAGAAAGATGGGTAGATGGGCTATCTCTCCTCCTGTGCTATTTATAGCTTTGGAAAAACCCATCAGAGGGTCAGCTATGAGTCAGTTGGATGCCTTTGCATTGTGGTGTGGGAGAAAAGTACTGAATATCCATGGACTACCAAAAGAACAAACAAGAATGTTCCAGAGAAAGTACATCCAGGACACTCCTTAAAGACAAGGAGGGTGAAATTTTCTCGCATATATTTTGGGCATGCTTTTAGGAGAGGCCAGTCCTTGGAAAAAAGCATCATGCTTGGAAAGGTGAAATGTCAGTGAAAGAGAAGAAGACCCTCAACAAGAGGGATTGACACAGTGCTAGCAGTGGGCTGGAGGGTGCGGGGATGATGGGGATGGCCCAGGAGAAGGCAAGCTGCAGATTCCCTGTTAATAAGTTACTGTGACTTGCAGTCGAAGGGACTGCAGGTAATAACAATAACAACAGGGTGTGTCACCAGGAACACTGAAGGCTCAGGGCCACCTCGGTGGGACCAGCTCCAGGCCTTAGGGACCTGTATTTCCTTGGTGACTGTACCCTTTCCCCGTCACTTAGCCATCCTGTGCCAAGTGCCATGGGGACCCAATCCCTGGAGACCCTCGCCTGTGCACGGGGACCCACTGGTAACTGGAGCAGCCAGAGGGGAAGAAACATCTGCCAACCTCTCTGAGGTCACACTGGCCCAAGACGTGCTGTCCCTCCCCTTCCTTCTGTGGCCTAGCTTCCCGGTGCCACCATAGATCTGGTCTTCTTCCAAGCTTGTTCTGAGAGGATGGAGACACGTAAGCCTCAACATGCACCCAGGGAAGATGAATGAAGGTAAAAGAAGAATATAAGGAACCAGTTATCCAGATAATGACCATTGCACTGAAAGTGCAATGTAGCTGGGGCCCCTGAATGATCCCCCCAATAGTCATTACTGCCTTCTCTGTGTATTTATAGCTGACTAAGTATTGGTCTGAAAGTTTTAGACATAACTAACTAACCTGGAGCATATTATTTCATAGCTTCCATTTCACAGATGGGGAAACTGAGGCAGAGGGCAGTTAGTGACTTGAGTCGGGCCACATTAGAGAGAGCCAGGCCTTGAACCTTGATACTCTGACTCTGAGGAGTCTGGTGGCACAGTGGTTAAAATGTTCAGCTCCTAACGGAGAAGTTGGTGGTTCAACATTTCTGGCCACTCCATAGGTCTGCCCCGTCATGATTTCAGGTCAGGAAGTCCTATTGGATGGGTCTCCTCTGCCTTCTGGGTTGCCATGAGTCACAATGGGACAGAACAACAATGGATTGACTCCGGAGCCAGCACCCTCTGTATTTACAAGCCTGTCTCAGTCCCAGGGCTGGTACCTGCCTTGCTCCCTTAAGCTGCAGGTTTCTCTGGGCTTCTGAGTAGCCCACCTGGGCTCCACATTAGTGCCCAATAGCTAATAACAGCCCCTGAGCCTCAGGTGCCAGGTTTACTGGCTGACACTGTGGGTTCATGACACTGCACCCAGCCCCAAGTCTATAACCCCAGGTCCAAGCCACGCCTGAAAATCCACCCCATCATCTGCCTGGGAGGTTAGAAGCCGAGTCCAGAGCCGGCCAGCCTGGGTGTAAATCCTACTCCATCACTCACTTTGCTCTGTGACCTCAGCAATGACCGAGCCTTGTATCTACATTCCAACATCCTCATCTCTAAAATGGGAGTAACCACAATGCTGAGATTGTTGGACTGCTGGGGAGATAAAATGGGTTGATTCACACAAAGTACTGAGAACCGTGGCTGGCACATTCCCTGTGCTTGGTTTTTAAATTATTCCTAGCACTCCTCTTTGCAGAGAGCCAAGCCAGACCTTCTTAGCTGGGAAAGAAAAAGCTACAGAGGCTTCAAGCCCCATCCTGGATGCCTTGCGGGGAAAGAATTGGTTGGCTGAGGACATCAGAAAAGTGACTGGGACCAGATTAAGGCAACAGTTTCCAGGAGCTGTTGTGTGGTTTCTTATCTATTTTTAAGCTGCTGTTTGTTGAGTGTTTATCTTAAGCCTTTACTTCCCTGACCTAGTTAGGCCTCATTCAACCTTGTGAGGGGGAATTGGGGCTCGAGAGGGGAAAAAATCCTTCCTGAGGCCACAGGACAAGGGTTTGAGATTTGAATCCAGCTCTGTGTGGCCTCAGAGTCTGACCCCCTGCCCTTTGGATCCCCTCCCTCCATCCCCAAGATAGAAATACTTAGGAAAAAAGAATCCTCTCTAATAATCCAGGACCCTCAGCATGGTGCAAACAGCTCATGCTCTCTGTTGTTAACCCAAAGAACTGAGGTTCAAGTCCACCAGAGCTGAGGTTCAAATGCCTAAGAAGAAAGACCTGGTGACCTGCTTTTAGAAACCCAGCCACTGCAAAGCCTGAGGAGCACAGAGCTCAGACACCAGGGAGCAGCCAGGACGCAGGAGCTCACTCAAGTGCTTCATATTGGGTGACCATTGTCTCTCAGTGCCCAGCCCCTGCTCTTGGCATTGTAACTTTTCTGTCTGCCCCATCCTGCCCAGCCCGCTTCTATTTCAGTCCAACCCACCTGAATTCTGGGGCCACTCCAGGGGTCTCCAGTGAACTGAGCACTAGGGGCTGGGGAAACAGAAAGTAGTTATTGACAATGTTCTTCTGGGAGGTCATATCTGGGAGAAAGCTCTGCTTTGAGGGAGCAGGTAACCAAAGCTACTCACAGTACTCAAGACCCGCTGACTGTGGGCGCCCCCAGCTCTCAGGTTCCCCTTCAGCCCAGGCCTGGCAATGAGGCTTTGTGGGGAAGACGGAAGAATGGGGCAATGGAGACTTCCTCTTTGGGAGCTCAGTCTGATGAGAGACATAACCTTACCCTTGGAAGAGTGTGGTGAGGAGGCAGCATGTGTACACACACACACACACACACACACACACACACGGAAAAATTCCCTAAGGACCTCTCAAGGGATCAGCACTGGTTAGCGGTTGGGGTCTTAACTTTGGAGTTTTAGACGGGCCTGGGTTTGAAACCTGGTTTTGCCAGTTATTGGTTGGTCTAAGTGACCTTGCACAAATGATTTAACCTCTTTGAGCCTCAGTCATCCTAGCTGTAAAATGACCATATAATACCTACTTTGCAGGATTGCTATGAAGGTCAAATGAAGATAGTGGGTGAAAACGTTTAGGAATCTGGAACATAATAGGTACTCAACAGTAGCTGTAAATCACTGCAGTCCAGATTGTACCCACTAGAGCCACTGATAAGAGAGAATCTAATACAGCTGAGGTCAATCCAGGAGCACTGCCTGGAGGAGGTAGGACTATACTGGGTCATAGGATGTCAGTGGAAAGAGGCCTAGTGTATGAAAGATCCTGGATAGTAGTCCATTGTGTCCTTCCATCCTCACCTGAGGTTGAGAAAGGCCCAGGTAGAGCAGCTCTGAGCTACATCAACCCTCTGATTAAACTATCCAGTTCCTGTCGCCCTGGTGTCCCATAAACAAATGTCCTGGGAGTGGAAGACATTCTCTC